AGAGAGGATTTGTTTCAAGCTGGTCTTCTGTCAGACAGCAGCAGCCCTGGCTTCCAGACACCTATGACTTCCAGTTCTTCAGCACATCGAGCAGGTTCAGCATCAAGTTCTGGAGTTCAGCATCAATGTCCCTGGGATGTGAACTTACTATCACTCTCAGGATCCAAACCTAGACAGCTCAACTGCTTTCCTGGCTAGGTTAATACATCCTGGCCTGGCCCTGCATCTCTACTCATTGTCAAATTGTAATCCTGAGAAGGTGGGGTAAGGGGTAGTGCGCTGCTGCTGGTCAAATGCTTTATCCTGGAACTCCCACTCATGCCCTCTTTCTCTCTGCAACCTGTCAAGGACACTGGTCCACCTGAGTCTGAGGGACTTTTGGTCCCATGCCTTCTCCCCTGGCAGCCCTTCACTTCCTTGTTTGCTTTCCCCCTCAAGCCTTACCCATTCTTTCTGTCCTAACTGCCTTCTGGGCTTTTCTGATTACTAATCACTTGTTGTATTTTCCAATTAGCTGTGTATGTACACATACCAGCTCATAAAGTTGGAATAAGGCTTTAACTTCTGCCTGGTCTATATAGCAAGTTCCAGGCCAGCTGGAGCTACAGGGAGACCCTGTGTCAGAAAATAAAAAAACAAAAAACAAAAACAAAAGCAAAAGAAAACTTCTAAGGAAAAGCATGTTTTCTGATGTGCTAGTAGACTTCCTTTTTTGTGACAAGGAAACTATAAGTTTAAGGCGTCTCTTCTGCCTTTGGCCAGGGGGAAGCTCCCAGCTGTTTTAAAGCCAAGTGCAGCTCTCTCCTTGCTGACCTGAAGAGGGCAGTGTGGTCCAGGGATAGAGCTGGGGTCCTGAGGTCACATGGTCAGGGCTGGCGCAATCTCAGATAACTTTCTAGGCCTCCTAAACTTTAGTCTCCTCACCTGTGAAAAAGGTTAGTAAAAATGATTATGCCTATCATACATTTTAAACTTTTATACATTACAAAAAAGGTGAAATTTGGTGATTAGCAGTCTAGGATTTCTGTTCTTTGGTAGGGGAAGATGACAGTTTTGCTGTGACCAAGGCTGGCCTCTAACTTGTGATCCTCCTGCTTCAACCTCTGAAGTACTAGGTAGGGTTTTTGCTTTTGTTATACCTGGACAATATCATACATGTATTTAATGTATTTCGGTTACTTTCACCCATTTCCCTCCCTCATCCACCTCCCATTCCCACTGAACCCCTTCTTCCCAAGTTCCCCTCTACTTTCATGTCTTTTGTCTTTTGTTTGTTTCTTTGGGTCCCACTGAGCTTAATTAGGTTTATTTGCATGAGCGTAGGTTATGCTTATACCACTTAAGAAAATGAATCCCTCTCCCCCAGCAACCATTAACTACCAATAGCTCAGAAGCAGGGAGCTGGGCCTCACTGAGCCCCTCCCATATCCATGATGGAAAGTTGATGGGCTCCATCTTGTTCAGGTAACCACAGATGCTGTGCGTCCATGAGAACAAAGGCTATCTCATGTCTAGAAGACAGCATTCCATCCCATCCTCCAGCTCTTAACTTCTTCTTACCCATGATGTTCCCGGAGCTTTGGGGGAGAGGGGTAATCCAGGATGTCCCATTTAAAACTAAGCACTCCACAGTCACTTACTCATTTTGACTGGTTATAAGTCTTCGCATTAACCACTACTCACTGCAAATAGTAGCTTCTCTGATCAAAGCTGAAAGCAGTACTATGAGTAACTAGTTAGAAGACAGTTTGATACCATGTCCATTTAGTAAAATGACAGCAGAAAGGTCCCCCCTAGGGCCTATGACCTCCCCAGCCATGGGTTTTTGACCAATTTATGGTGTTGGGCATGAGCTCTCTTGTGGCATGGACCTCAAATCCAACCAGAAAGCACTTGGTTACCCTTGTAATGATCATAGCAATATTTCACAAGTGGGCACATCTTGCCTAGCAGATTAGTATTGCAGTTTGTAGGCTTCACAGCTGGGTGAGATCACTGACTTTTCTCCCCCAGCAGCCTGCATAGCATCTTCCAGTACTATGAAGGCTAGCCAGCAGGGAGGAAGTTTCCCTCTCAGTTCTGCCTCTGCCTCCCGAGTGCTGGGATTAAAGTCTTTTTTCCTTTTAAGAAAAAAATTAAAAAAAATATTTTATTTATTATTTTATATGTGAGTGTTACGCCTGCATGTAAGTAAGTGCGCCCATGTTGTGCAATGCCCGAGAAGGACAGAAGAGGCCGTCGGATCCCTTGGAACTGGAGTTACAGATAGTTAGCTGCCATGTGGGTGCTGGGATTTGAACCCAGGTCTTCTGCAAGAACAGTCAGTGTTCTTAGCCACTGAACCATCTCTCCAGCTCACTTTTTAAAAGAAAAAAAAAAAAATTTTTTTTTTGTCTTTTTGAGACAGGGTCTCCCTGTAGTCCAGCTGGCCTGGGACTCATTTTGTAGACCAGGCTGGCCTGGAACTCACAAAGATCCACCTGCCTCTGCTCCCAAGTGCTGGGATTAAAGGCATGTGCCACCATGCCTGGCTAAAAGAAAATTTTAGCGTGTGTGTCTGTGTGTATACATGCATGTGCGTCTGAGTATATGCATGCCATTGCATACATGTGAAGATCAGAGGATAACTTATTGGAATCAGTTCTCCTAGCCCTAGCATGTAGGTCCCAGAGATAGAATTCAATTCATTAGGTAGAGCAAGCTACCTTCTATCCACGGAGCCATCTAGCTGGCCCTTTCTTTCTCTTTTTGAGGCAAGGTCTCACACTGTAGCTCAGACTGTCCTCAAACTCAAGGCAATCTTCCTGCTTCAGTCACAGTCGCCTTTTCCTAACCATCTCTCTTAATTTGTTCTGGTCCCTTCTGGAAGTATACAAATGAATGATCAAAATATTTCTGAAGAGCAGTCTTCCTGAAGACGAAGTAATGTCCTTCACTTGTTCTAATATGATTTGTATTAGAAAAGTGTTTATGGAGTGCTGGAGAGATGGTTCATTAAAGAGCACTGGCAATTCTCGTTTGATTCTCAGTACCCACATGGTGGCTAACAACTATTTGTAACTTCAGTTTCAGGGGAATTCTATGTCCTTTTCTGACATCCGTGGACATTGCACAACATGGGTGCACTTACGTACAATAAGGCAATACACTCAAACATAGAAAATAAGTTACTAAATAAAACATTTTTAAAAAGTGTTTATGTTGTACTAATTGGGTTTGGTTCTTATGCTAAAGCCAAAGGAGTTGCTTAATACTTTAGTATTACTGTTAAAATAAGTTGAACTTTGGGGCAGACTGCAAATGGTCCAGAAGGGGCTCTTTTTGTTGGAATTGATTTAACTGTTCGTTTAATCTCCTTTATTCACCAGTATGTCCCCAGATGCTGTGAGTCAGGTACTTACTGAGCATTAGGAAAGTAAAGGTGAGCCACCTTAACATGACACCCACTCTTTTGTGGATGCTGCTAAGGGTGCAGTGTGGGAGGCGGCTGTGAAAAAAAATCACCTGAATGACTTTACTGAGGTGCTAAGTCAGTAGAAGACAGGAGGAAAAGTGACACTTGGGGAAGGTAACTATTTCTTCAGTCAGCATCAGAAGTGAGTTCTGAGTAGAGGAAACAGTGTAGGCCCTTCAAGTAATGCCAAGTGATTGCTCACTGAAGAAATGGATTAGAGACCTATTAAATCTGGCTGGAATGGAGGCAGGAGTCAACTGAAGAGCTTGTGGCCTGTAAGGTACCTAGATTTTATTTTGAAGGGGAGTGGGCCTGGTGTGGCTGATGGCCAGGACTTCACAACATGGCTCTATTTTAGAGTTGTTGTATCTGAACACTGAATCGTGAGGATACAAGCTCTGCAGGCAGGGTTTGCATGAACACAGAGCCTAAGAAAGGTGGTCAGGCTCTGCACCTGGATGGGCTCAAATGACTTTTAAAGTTTCTTGAAAATCTGAGGTTCCAGGATGCTAAAACAAGCCCAGTAGCTAAACTGGTGCTGTGGGCTGGGATCTATGGCTGGGGAGCTGCCCTGGGCAGCAAATGGGTTAACATTCAAATAACTTTTATATATGAATTAATGTGCAGAGGTAGGAGCCAAAATCTGTTCCATTAATTTTTCCATCCATTCCAGGAGCAGTTAGATACACACAGTAAAGTTTATTCTGGTGCATGGAATACTTCACTCCATTAAAAATAAATTAATCAGCAAATTCCTGCCTGGCTTGGCTCTGGTTTATGTAAATAGTGCCCAGCGGTAATGAGTTACAAGGTGTTATTATCTCACACACACAGAGGAGGCTTCACTCTAGAGCTCCGCTTGCAACAAAAGCATCTTAAATAAACCGAGAGAAGGCGGTTTGATTTGTAATGTTTTCACAGAAGTGGAATATACCTCACTCGTATAGAGTTTCTTTATATGACTCATTTTATAGCAAGTTCAATGAAGGAAGCTGGATGGGGGAGGGAGGGGCAAGATGGTTCCCCGCCCCTTTGTTCAATTTAAGAAAATCCCCCAAGAGATGACCCAAACTCCCAGGGAGGAGGGAATAGGCCCCTCAAGAGCCGACTGGGCAGCTCTGCAGCACATGCTGTAGAAATTGGGGAGGGGGTAGAAAGCTGGGCCTGCAGCTGGGTCCTGGGATGGTACCCACTGGACCAGGAAAAACGTTCTTTTGCCTTGCTATCTCATGTAAGGATAGGCCAAGAGAGGAATGACAGTGTTCTTTACCCAGTTTTCTGTGGGCGACAAAGAAACTTTTGTTCTCAAGGTTTCTTTCTAAATGACTTAGGATGTGACAACCCCCTTGGCCCTCAGAAGCCTCCTGGGTCCCAGAGAACATGCCTGGCAGGCTGTGCATTGGCCAGTGACACCTCTCTGTGAATTGGAGACAAGAGCATCAGCAGAAAGCCCCTGACACCCTCTAACCCCCATCTCCTGTCTCTGAACTGTGGCACCCACCGTCTCACCTATGCTTCTAAAAGACCCTGGAACAAAGAGCCACAGCAGAGATAGGTCTCTTTCTTTTAATGGCCACTTCAACCCCATGGCTCACAGTTGGGGGACAGTGTATAGCTACTGGTCTTGAATCAGCAGCATTATATGCTGCTCCTAGGCACAGGGGGCCCCCTGGGTGTGGGGTATTTCCCTTCTAACCTACCCAGCTCTTCCTCAGCCGCTGAAAAAAGCTGTCAGTCACATGTGGTTGCTGCAGGACTTAGGAAGTGTGCTTGGGGCTCCTCTTGAGGGAGAGAACACCTCAGAAGAGCCAGAGGATCTCCCAGCACTGTACCCAACCAGATCAGACTCCTGGGCACAGGAAGAAGAAACTCAGCACAAACGGGCCAAGTGTTCAATAGGTACTGTTCAAAAGTCAGTTCAGGCCACTTTCTTCAGGGTCCTGAGCCAAACAGGCACTTGTCCCATGGAGGTTCCTCAAATCCAGCCAGTCAACTGTCCAGAGGGCCAGCCTTTCAAAGACCCTCGTCGTTGTAAGTAGGAACACTGGGCTTCAGGAGGCTCTGTGGATTCTTCTCCACCAGAGGGCGCCAGCTCACTTCCCCTGTCAGAAGTAGATCCTCTCCGTTCATGGAGTCCAGGTACTGCATCTGCAGTGAAGAGCAATGAACAGAAGACAGGGGCAAGACACACGTCAGAGTGGTGAAAGGCCCCAGCCTCCCCAAGGAGTGGAAAGCCAGGAGTATTGGAGAGAGGGTGTCTTCTGACTATCCAGCTTCTAAGTCAGCGGTCTCTGATCTCCCAGATTATCTCATTAAGGAGATTTAGAGAAAAAGTAACTGGGGAAGCTCACCACAAGGCTTTAAGGACTTCCCTTTACACCTCTAAATGGAGACACACATCCCCACTCCACGCCCTCCCCACCAAGGGCATCTAACCCCGGCTTCACCCTCACTACAGAGTTCTTGCAGGCCCAGAACTTAGAGCCTGAGATTCACAGAATACACCCTGTCCACTCTACCCAGTAGAGCTGAAAGGCTCAGACCTGCCTTTTCCTAGTGCTATTATGCAAGGTGGTCACTTCGGAAACTTATGTCCTCTTGTCTGAGAAGACGGAAATAGGTACATCATGGGACTCAAGGGAAGATTTGATAAGGCGTGTACAGAGCTGTCACATCAAATGCTTTTTTTTTTTTTAAAGACAGAAATCTCACTATGTTTAACTCTGACTGACCTACAATTCAATATGTACATCTGGCCAGTCTCTAACTCAGAGACCCACCTGCCTCTGTCTCTCAAGTGCTAGGATTAAAGGTGTGTGCCACCATACTCAGCTTCAACCTCTTTTCCTCATAAGTGTGCCTCCACTGTCCTCCAGAGGGCCCTCATGCTGGTCTGTGGACCCAGTTTCTCCTGACTCCACAGAACAGCTGGAGGGGGGAGGGAAGAGGCTGTCTCCACAGCACAGAACAGATGGGGCTGGGGCAAGGGGTGGGTGGGGTGGGAGGGGCTGTCCCCAGCAGCTTTGTTGTTAAGATGATCATCCTCTTCAAAACCCCTACCTGTCACTACATGACTTTCATCCCTGATCCTTCGTGTTCTAACTGTAACTGGAGGGACCAAATGCCATATCCTCTTGTTCCCCAAAACTGACAGCTGCTCTGATACCTGGAGCTAGTGATCATGTCTGCTCAGTGGGCTGTCTCTTGTTTGCACCTCCAGTCTGTGTGACACAGAGATGATTTTAGGTGCCATTTGGGTAACACCAGGCCTCCTGGGGTGCTCTTGGGCCTGTCTAGGTATCTAAGCACACAATCTTCCCTGTGTAGAGGGATACCTGTGATGGGGCAAGTGCACTGCTGGGAAAGAGGGGAGCCATTTCTGCAAGGGGAAGTGAGTTAAGGGGTCTCAGGAGGGCAGCAGGTGAGAAATGCCTACAGATGGACAGGTAGCACAGTGAGGAAGCAGGAGGTACCTCTGGACCCACAAAGATGAGGCTCTTTGGGGGGAAAGAAAAGTGGGCAGGGGGCTTCATCTCAGGTCTTGGATTATCCTCTTCTTCCAAGAGCTCATCACTCATTTCATTTTCAGACTGCTGTCCCTTGAACTCAGCCCCAGCCTCCCAGAGAGAGGTCTAGCTTTCCATATGTCCTGAGTCCCTTCCAGGGGAAGTGGTTCAGCTGTACTGCTGTCGTCCCAGCTGTACTGTTGTCGTCCCTGCAGCCCGCTCATCCAATGCCACCATTTTGCTCATCTCCTCAGTTGCCAACCTCAATGTAATTTCGGATTGATTACCAAATACTACCAGGTGTACAGAACCAGAGACTGCTCAAGGTCTGCCCTGACCTACGAAGTCAGAACAAACCTTTCTCTGGCCTTCTCAGCACCCTATTAAATCTGAATCATATGACAGACTAACTTACTCCAGGACTGGCTGTGTACCCGACTGGCTCCTCAAGGGCAGAACTGAGCCCCATTAACCTCTGCTCTCCCAGCCCAGGGACTGCCACAGCAGGTGCTAAGGCCTGCTGACAGAACTGGGTACCCTGCTTTCTTAGGAGCCCTACTGCCAAGTTCTAAATGGGGCCAAATGAGACTTCTCATAGGGTCATTAGTTGTGGCAACCCCTCCTTTTTGGGCCCTTGTTGCGGTCCCAGCTGTGCCTTGTTGTGGCCTCTGGCACAAGCCTACCACGGCAGATGGGAGAGATGGGTGGGTCTCTCCAAAAACAGCATTTACTTCACCAATTTTGACTCCTGTCTGAGAGCAAGGCTCTCAAGTCACAGTGCCTTCTCTCTGGCTCTGGCAGATCTGAAGAATGGTCACGTGGAAGTTCTGGCTTCTGGTGTTCTCTACCCCCTGATTTCTAAAGCCTTAGCATGTCAGTTTGTCACCAACCAACTAGCTGGTCTTCTCAGTCCTGTCTGCTCTGAAGCTGGGCTCTGCCCTTCCTTTTCCTGGCTGTTGGAGGCTCACAGACCATGGACACAGGTGAACAAGAGAATAACTGGCGTGAGGCCCCATCACCCCAGGGACCAAGCCCACGAAGTAAAGATGTGACTCACTGACAGCCCAAACTGGTGAGTTGTCTGCAGCAGCTGTGGCCTCTAGTGGCTACATGATTCACCCAGCTTAGGATCTGAGGCCAGCTATGCAGGCTGACTCACTGGGAGACCCCAGAAAAGCCTCCATGTTCCTCCTCTACATGAGTGAGTCCACTCATCTAGAAAGCATGAATTTCTGGGGGCAGATCAGGAGTTAGTTCTGCACCAGCTTGACAAAGTCATGTGGTCAAGCAGTCTTTACTGTGGAGTGTCTCTTGGAAGCCCTAGTGTCAGGAAGCCCTAGAAAGTCAGAGAGCAAGGACATGGGAGCCCCTACTTGGCAGTGAAGAGCACTGGGGGGAAGACTAGAGGTGTTTGTTAAATGCTGTCTGCAGCTTGGTTCTGTTAGAAGTCAGAAGTGGGAAACAGATCCACAAGTGGGCATGAAATGGAGCACAGTGGGTGGTCCAGGACACTGAGGGCGCAGTATCTAATACTATACCTGGCACCAGCAGGTAACAAAATATACTGTGAATGAGTGATACAACTTTCAGAAGCAGAAGGCTGTATACCTTTCCTCCCTATCCCCTCCGTAGAATCCTTGGCCTAGTTCACAGCTGGACACACAGAAGAAGCTTATTATTATTATTATTGTTATTATTATTATTATTTTTGTCTTTTTGAGACAGGATCTCCCTGTAGCCCCAGCTGGCTTGGAACTCACTATGTAAAACAGGCTGACCTCAAAGTTAGAGAGATCCACCTGCTTTTACCTCCCTAGTGCTGGGATTAAAGGCATGCACCACCACGCCCAGTTAGAAGCAGCTCATTCTTAAGCTTGGCATAGTAGCTCACACACGTAATCTCAACACTTGGGAGGGAGGTAAAGGCTACAGCAAGTTCAAGGCCAGAGTGAGCTACTTATGCTCAGTCTTCATCGGTGCTTGCTGCTGATGTAATTGGGTTAGGATTCCCTTATATTAGCTTCTGGTAGAGCAGCCTCTTAGATCCCCCTTATATTAGCTCCTGGTAGATCAGCCTCTTAGATCCCCCAGGGTCCAATACCACATACTTCTACCAGATTGCATAGGGGGAGGCTGCTAACCTGTTTCCTCACATACTCCACCAGCAATTCAAGCTGTCGAGGGTCTTCACATTTTTGGTTGAAGAAAGTTCTCCAGAGGGCAGCAGCCAGCCCATGGTCATCTGAAAGGATCCCCTGGAACACAAGAGTACAATGGGTCTTACAGAGATATTTGAACATGAGACCAAAGAATGGGTTCAGAAGGACTATTAGAGGGCACTGGGGCAGCTTATTACATCTGGCCCAATCTTAGAGCATGGGATCCTAAGGGTCATGGCAATGGTTAAGGTGCTGCAGAGCTGGCAGTCACGCCTGGTACTCTCCAGGCACAGTTCCTTCACTTCTCCCACACTGCGCCTGGCCTAGGCAATGTCCGAAAGGCCCAAAAGAAAAATCACAGCAGCCATGCCTCTGCTTGTCTTAGAATAGAGGTGGATATTGACTGCTCCTTCTTGCTTGGTCTAAGGGGACACATCTGCAAGGCAGTTGGCTCCAGGAAAGGGAACCAGGTACCCTGCCTTCACTGTCACCCATCTGGCTATGACTGGCCCAGCCTCTCCCTCAGAGAGGGACAGGCTGCTCAGCAGGACTGCCATGGACCATAGAGGGTCACATAGGGCAATGTTCAGAGCCTGCCTGTGTATGCACCTGATGTTGCCTCTCCTTGCACTGGGAACTGTTTGGAAACTCAGATATTACAGAGGCCAATTATAGCCACTTTCCAGCTCAGACCTCTAGGGGAGGGAGGATGAAAGTGATGGAAGGGAAAGGCTCTGAGCAGTGGTTCTGCCTGTGTGCCAAGGTGTAATATGTGGAACCAAAGTAGGGTTCTGAGTGCTGCCACTGTCAAATTCAAAGTTGCAGCTAAACATGAGTCTCAAGCCTCCTGGATATTAAGAGATGAAAATATGTGCTCTAAGATGGGTGTGGTAGCACATGCCTGTAATCCCAGAACATGGGAGGTGGAGGCAAGAAAGAAAATACTTGAGTATCTCCTTATAGCATCCTTGAATTGCAAAGATGAGATACTGTGGGTTGGGGGTGTGGCTCAGTGGTAGAACACTTTGCGTGTTCAAGGTCCATGGTAGCATGTTCAAGGCTCTGGGTTCGATTCCTAGCAACACCACAGAAATGTAAAAGCTTTAAAATTGTTACATTTACTTATTTATTTAGTGTGTATGTGGGTGTGGGTACATGTATGCCATAGTATGTATGTGAAAGTCAGAGGACAACTTTGTTCTCTCCTCCTCTCCTTCCACCATGTGGGTCCCTGGGATCCAAATAGGGTCATAGGGCTTGGTGGCAACTGCCATAACTGATTGAACTATCTCATCAGCCTAGCTTTTTTTTTTTTTTTTTTTTTTGAGATAGTGTCTCATATAGTCAGGGCCGGCCTCAAACTCTCTAGCCACTGTGACTGAAGTGATCCTCTACCCCCACCTCTCAAGTACTGGAATTGCAGACATGTGCCATTATACCAGACTGCAAAAGCATTCTTTAAAGGTATAATATAGTGGATACAAGAAACAGGAGCATGCGCTAGCTGGCAGCTCAAATTGGGATCTGAGATCTGAGAGCCAGACCACCAAGTTCAATGTCAGCTCTGTCACTTGATGGTAGTGTGGGCTTTGAAAAGTCCTTAGTCCTTCTGGAGCCTCAGTGTCTCATGAGTTAGTCAAGCATAATAATTCATTCTTTTTTTTTTTTTTTTTTTTTTTTTGGAATTTCATGTGGTTTTAACTGGCCCTAACATCGAGAGCTCAGGAAATCTCCCTGCCTCAGCCTCTAGAGGCTGCACCATCATGCTCAGATCTTGGACTCTTAAAGAAGAGAAAAGAAGGGAAGGAGGGAGGAAGAGAGGGAAGGAGTTGTTAAAGTTTATTATATGAAATGGATCATTTCTAGCCAGGCATGGTGGTGCATGCTTTTAATCCCAGCACTTGGGAGGCAGAGGCGGGCGAATCTCTGTGAGTTCAAGGCCAGCCTGGTCTACATAGTGAGTTCCAGACCAGCTGGGGCTACAGGGAAGGAAACCCTTTTGTCA